AAACTAATTACGCAGATCCCTTTCTCTTCCGACAGCTGTTGAAATCCCAATGTGCTTCTGTCTCTGTGGTTCTGGCTGTGTTATGATTACTCCTGACCCATCTCCTCTAATCTGTTCTCTGATGCGCTTTTGGATGCAGATGCGGCGAGAGCTGCGAAATGTTTCTGGATAGTGCTAGTCATAGCTCCGAGCCGGCTTCTTAGGAGTATTACGTGAAGTGTCTGTGTGAAGAAGGGTTTATGGAGAAAGCTATGGAAGTGCTTTTTGGAATTTTACCAAGAAATGATGGAATCTGGTGTTGCATCTGATGTTAAACTCGAGTCTGTTGGATTTATGATTCAAGCTTTTTGCAATAGCAGGCAGGTTACAAGAGGCTATGAGCTTCTGAAACAGGTTTTGGACACGGGATTGGACCCGGAAATGTTTCATATAACATGTTTGGTTCTGTCAGATGAAGAATTACGCCAGAATGTTGGAAATTCTTCATTCGATGATAGCAAGAAAACATATCAGGGGACCCATAAATGGACTTTGTAAGAAAAAGAAGCGGCTTGAGGCTGATCGGGTGTTCAATGGTCTCAAAAACGGAGGATATGCACCTGATAAGGTCTTCATGTACGCCACAGTGATCCATGGCCTGCTGCTGGTTTGGTGATGCTAGGAAACATGCTTCGCAATGATGAACAGTGGGATGCAACCAAACGTGTTTACTTACAGCGCGATTCTACACGGGTACTGTATCGATTCTGAGCATGTCTATGAGCTCTACAAATGAGATGTGCAAAAGGGCTATGGAGAAACAACAGTGACCTGCAGTGCAATGATCTCATGATTCTGCCCACATAGAAGATCAGACGACACAACTGAGATGTTGAAGAAAATGTCTGAAAACAGGTTTCACAGCTGATGCCATCACATATAACTCTCTGATCCAAGGCTTCCGCAAGGAAAGGAAACTCGACAAAGGCATGAAACTTGCTCAACGAGCTCGCTCAGCAGAGGGAATGAACTTGCTGACGGGAATCCCAGAGGATAATAAAACCAAACCAAAACAGATGACTTTTGAGAATCTGATAGTGTCTGATTCAGATGCGGCCAAGGGTCGGCTCAATTTTTGCAGATTTGTATCTTCTTTTGGGGAAGAAGCAATAAAGGTTTATTCTTTTCCAATGTGAAGAACACACGACAGAGCAGAAACACTGCATGGACTTTATATATTCATAGATCACAGTAAAGCATACACCTGTGCGTATCGTGAAGAAAAAGAATCATTTTAATGTGCAAATCCCACACAGGTATGTGCACGTTAACAAGCCCTATATATGAGACTCTGACACATGAACCAAACATCAAACTTTGCGGTTCTTGATCACAGAAGAATCTTGTTTTAGCAAACAACTTCCACTGCATCACTAATCTGTTGATATGACACTTGAATTCAATAACTGACTATGCAATTCTTGTTCAGAAAAGGGATTCGTTATCGTTTTGTTGATTCATCATCATCTCCATTTTCAATGTCCCAGCTCAAATCCTCTCCTTCGTCTGCAACAATGATCCTGTTACGCCAATCAGCTTTCTCGCCACTCCCTTGGGAGGCAACCGAGTCCCTCCTCTCCTCATTGCTCCCAATATCGTCTTCAAGCTGATCCCACCCGAGATCTTCGACCTCGGGTAACGAGGGTTGTGTTGAGACCACTGAGATATCGCTGTCCTTGCATGAAGAGTCTCTGCTCTCCAACTTCTCCATCAACACCGCTTTTTCTGGATCTCTCTCCTCGTCTTTGTCAATTGCCTTTTCTTTCAGATTCTCGTTCGCAGTTGAAGGGTTGTCATTTGAGTTGCATTTCGGCAAAGACCCATCAGTCTCATCTTCATCGTCGTCGAAATCCCAGCTTAGATCCTCTTCTTCTCCAGAAATCGCTCTTTGCACAAGCTTAGCTCTAGCTTCTTCTGCTTGCTGAAGCTTATGCACCCTATAGAAGTACCTACACCAGAATGTCTCGGCATCCACTTCCGCAGGCATTATCTCATCGTAAATCTCTTTCACGGACTTGTTTTCGTTTATCAGATCATCAATTTCGTTGCTTTTCTCGACTACCTTAAACCCCAATTTCCAATTCTCGAAGTCCTCTGAGTCATCAGGCTCTCTGCAATACGTGCCTCTATCAGATTGAACCGCAAGCAACTGCATCTCAAAACGACTATACGGTTTCACAACTAAACCCTGACTACTACTACCAGCAACATCAACACGATAGCCGGAAGAATCCAGACCAGAATCTTCCGATGAAGATGCGAGAGATTCCCTACCGTGGGAGATGATCTGGGCCGTTGATTTCCAGACGGAGGCACCGATATCGTCGATCGCCTGCCCCACCGACTCTAGCGACTCCTGGGCAACGGACGCTCCGATCTCGAGGGACTGAGGTAAGTCCTTGACGGCACGCGAGGCAACTTCACGGATTATGGAGGTCTCCTTCTTCAACTCAGATCCAAATTCCTCGAAATCACGGCGGTAGGAACCGATCACAGACTCGGATTTGGTCGCTAAGGTTTTGATCAGACCGCCGAAGCTCCACGAAGGCGAAGGATCCGGGTCCGCCAGATCGCAGTCGGGCGGATCAGGCTGTGGGTGATCGTATTCGGAGAAAACGGATTTGAAGAGATCCATAGAAAATTGGGGAGATGGGAGAGAAAATAGGGTTTTGGAGGGCGGGATCGAAGAAGGTGAAGCCTGTATGGAACAATGAACAGACGGCCCGCATCGATCAATGGAGACACCGAGAGGCGAGAGAGAGTATTCCCACATTTATATATTGTCCATTGGTGGAAAAAAAATGGAAAATAAATAAATAAATCCACAATGGTGTAGTCGGTGGCGTGTATTTATATTTTCTATATATATATATATCAGTTGTATTTGAGAGGGCACAAAAAATGGCTTTGTTTTAGTTGGGCCCATAGGATATATATATATATATGGGTCTAAGTTGGCCCAAATAATGTCCATACATATTACCTCCGATTCTAGCATTTAAATTTTGAAATTACCATATATTATATAGTTATTTGACCTTTTTATCTATAGTTAGTGGTGGGAGAATAAATTGTAGAGAGAAATCCATAAAAGCATGGTTTTCAAACACTTTATAATATTTTCGTTGCCTCTTACTAACCCTTATAATTTAGGTGTTCTATAATTATTCACGTTATGTAATCAATCCCCATTTACCATTAATATATATATATATAAGCACATGTATTGCAGTTCTAGTGGTCAGTAACAGTCTCTCCTTCGTAAGAGGTTGAGGGTTCGAAATCAGTAGAGGATGAACTTTCCCTTGAACTAGTTAGCGTTGGTTGATTTATCTGCTCTACACGGTTTACGGGCTATTTTGCAGGGTCAAGGTTACTGTCGATATACCGACTGTCTGGTCTGGGAGAGGTTGGGGCAGTCGGGATCCGGTTCGAAGGGTCGTACGACGGGTTCCTACCGTTATAAAAAAAACACGTATTGCATATTTAAATTAGGGGTGGACGTTTCGGGAAACGGTTCGGGTTCGGGACAGAATGAATCGGTTCGGTTCTTTCAGTTTTACAAAAATATATATCAATCGGGTTTTTTATTGTATTCGGTTCGGTTCGGTTCGGTTTCGGTATCGGTTCCGGGTTTTATTAAAAAAATGATAGATTTCCTTTAAAAATATTCGGTTTTTCGGGATTTTTAAAGTTCGGTTCGGTTCCGGAAAAATTTGGTTCTCTAAAAATGGTACCGTTCGAGAAATAACAACGGTTTCGGGTCGAGAAAAATAGCGTTTTAACGGTTCGGTTCGGTCCGGTTCTGAAGAATCGAACCGAAACGCCCAGCCCTAATTTAAATAGATTTGTCCAAATATACCTAAATTTTTCGAACATATATATATATATATGCGCACACACCATGATTTTGGGTCATACATATATCAAATTACATTTTGTATCTTATAAAAATGTCAAAATTCAAGGTTTTATTCCCATCAACTATGATCAATTCCTGTAACCATATCCGTAGGCTGTATCCGAAATTTATGATTATTTACCTTAGAGATACGTGTCTTACATAGATGTCATGGATTAGGTGGAAAAAATGTAAATTATAGAATAAAATTGTATAATTTTCATGGATTAAATAAATATCAAATCCCCGTATAAAAAAAATTACAAGTTATTTTTCTGTTGACAAAATTTATGGAAACCGTAGGGAATAAATAAATAAATGTGAAGAACCCTTTGACCAGGACAGAGGGTTTAGGAGAAAAATGATGGCCTCCATGCTTTCTCCCCACCTTTAAAATAAAATAAGATTGAATCAAATCTCTTGAAAGTCTCCCTATTCATTTTACAAAAGTCTTGCAATAATAATGTCTTGCTGGCTTTTGCCCTAAACGACAAGCAGATGACGCATGCTTACGCCATCACGTCTCATTATTGTCGCAAGTGGTACTTTTTTTTAAAATAAAATAAGAAACAATCAAATGAGATTTATCTGCTACGAAATACTACTGATTTTATAGTTTATGAAATCACGATTTAATTTAATAAAAAAATATATTTCTTTAAAAGTTTCGTATATTTTGTGATCAATTTTTTAAAAAGTTTATTAGTTTGGTATAATAAAAAAAATGGTAAAATAATCGTATTGTTTACATGTAATTGCACAAAAACTATTTAATTGTGAAAATAAATTTAAACTGATAAAATAAAGTAAGGAAACGTTGGGGCTGAATTTGAGAATAATGCATGTATGCATGCATGCATGCGCTCATCGCCATGGAGTGTGAATGATTTCTTGCGTGGAGAAACCAAAAGGGTCCATTAGATTATATTATATTAACGGGTTCATCTTTATTACTATTATTTATCTTCCGACACAGAGAATATTAATTAAACAAATAACTAACAAGCACGGGGGAATGATATGCCTCGAATTCCAAGATTGCTTCACCCGCGGATCATATATACGTATACATATATATATATATATGTGTGTGTGTGTGTGTGTGTGTGTAAAGTTTCGAGCAACCCACAAATCGATATAGATTTTGGATTTGGTCTTGTGCTCGAGGCACTTTTTCAGCGCCAAACAAATCCTTTCTATAAATCAATTTAACTCAATATCTATTTTGGATGAAAGAAATAAATAACTGAATCATATTTCAAATGCATACATTATGTTATAACTGAATCCTAGCTAGAATATAGGGACCAATCAGATGTATTATATCGTATATATGTGTAAATTAGATATGTAGATATATATATCGATAATAAGTTTGAAATACATGTATGTATGGATATCATCAAAATTCCATTGTGAAGTGGACGATATATATTAATTTTGATTAATAATATGTCAAAGTGGATATGGAAGCATAACATGCAATGCAAGTCCTAGCATTTGAAATTGTTTCACATGCGTGCAAACGCGAGTGGCGGCTTCGATTAAAAATACGACATCCCCCCCCCCTCCAAAAAAAATGACCTAAGTAGGGACAGAATGTTTTTTTTTAAATGTTAAATACGCTTTCTAATGAAAGTGGGCCCTCCCATGTTTGCCCTCAAATTAGGGGACAGACACTTCCGATGATGTTGCTGTGGGTCCCACTTTGAGAATGCTGTCGTTTTGTGGGCCCACGCGTCGGTAACGCTTGCTAAATGCTCAACTAATAAGAGTCAAAACAAAATGTTTTAAAAGATTACTTGGCTCTTTTGATTTTCGATCCTTTATATACTTATCCGGACATCTCATATATACATGTTGATATATCTATATGTACATGTACATGTGTTAGTGTTATGGATAAATGCTGGACATTGATGGAGCTCGCGTTAGCGGGTTCGATCTGGATTTCGATCGGGGATGGATATAAAACGTGTGCGTACAAAATAGTACGGAAAAGAATATCAAATTATTATTATTATTATTATTATTATTATTATTATTATTATTATTATTATTATTATTATTATTATTATTATTATTATTATTATTATTATGTGTTTTGTTATTATTATTATTATTATTATTATTATTATTATTATTATTATTATTATTATTATTATTATTATTATTATTATTATTATTATTATTATTATTATTATTATTATTATTATTATTATTATTATTATTATTATTATTATTATTATTATTATTATTATTATTATTATTATTATTATTATTATTATTATTATTATTATTATTATTATTATGTGTTTTGGTGTATTGGGAATAAGAAGTAAAGACAGAGATTTTTTATGGCATGGACTGTGTTCGGTTGACCTTGGTCATATATATATGATCTAGTCAATTTTTTAATCTAAAATTGCAGAGATTTTGGATTTAAATATATGGCTGTATATTCTATTTTGGTTTGTGTTTTTTATATTCTGAATCATATGTTTATAAGATTTAAACGTATTTAATTATCAATAATAACATATTCCCCACGATACGAGTAAAGAGAGTGACCATTCTATCCGATCTCTAAAGAATTCATCAAATGGTATTATTGCATGTAAAGGAGAAAGATGGAGAATTCAAAAATACTTTTAGGTTAAAATAAAATAGTAAAAAAAATAATTAAGTATTTGGAGGGCGGATGTAATTATGAAATAAAATAGAAAATGGGGGATTAATGGTGAAAGAGAGATTAATGGTGGGTGAGGTGCATGCGCGTGCTGCTGAAACACATGTGGGATTTTTCTCATAATGTATATATATGCATATATATATATATACATATGCTTACTACTGCTCCTTACCCAACCTTACCATTAATATTTATTTCCTACTCAATTAATTTTACATTTCACTTTCATATATATACATACATACATATATATATACACACACACATCCGATTTCATAGTATGATTGAAAAAAATAGTAGTATTTATAATAATGAATATAAGCCAATGTTCAAATGTATTTATAACAACCAATTCATAATCGAACCGAACTAATATAATATTAATGAATCCGGAACAATTTTTTTTTTAAAAGGGTTGGATTTTAATTGTCTAAAAATAAATTAATAGAAATCTAAGTGAAACGTATATTAAAATAATTTAAAATTTAATAAAAGTGAATTATTGAATACAAACCAAATCCGAAAATTTTGCACCAAACTAAAAACTGAAATAGATAGATATAGTTTTTTAGAACAGAACACAAAAAAATATAAGAAATTAGAAACTGAGAGATAACCTAAACATCAAATATTTAAAATATGTGAAAATATTTTGATTCCGTGGATGACAATAAGAGATTTGTTTTTTTATTCTCATTATTTATGGCCATTTTTTCAATATAAACACAAATAATAATAATAATAATAATAATAATAATAATAATAATAATAATAATAATAATAATAATAATAATAATAATAATAATAATAATAATAATAATAATAATAATAATAATAATAATAATAATAATAATAATAATAATAATAATAATAATCCAATTTAGATAGTTCATCCGATTAAATGGGTATTCAAAGTGTATTTTATGTTCCGAGTTCGAACTTCAAGTTGGAGATGAGAGCGTAATTCTAATCACCTGCCTTATTCCCTGTCACAGAATTAGTCTTTGCCTCGGCGTATAACCGATTATCCAAATAATAATAATAATAATAATAATAATAATAATAAATAATGATGATGATGGTCACACAAATATATATACACTCATTATTTTATCTGAATTTTTTGGATTGTGAAGCTTCTCTGCTCGTATAATTCAATTATATTGAATTATTGTTGTAATCTTTATTTCGGAGGAATATCTTAAATTAAAAGCTAAGGCTTCTATATATAGTAATGAAGAAGCAGTTTAAAGCGTAAGCTCACACTATTATTTCACAGTAAAATAATGTTATCGACATTAGACATATATATATATATATATACACACACAATATGGTCCTGGAATTAGATTTATTATATACTTGATTAATATCTAAAATATGAACATGTTAAAAAAACCCCGACAGGTTTCATGCATTTATCAAATACATATGTTTTTATTATATACATTTTTCAGTATGTTTTATCATATATTTATCAATCCATACAATTATTTTTCAGTTACAATTTTTTTTTATGTTTGCTTGTTTTTTTTTTTTTTGGG